CCACCAGGCTCACATGCTGGTTTTCAGCCTCCAAGATAAAGACAGGCACTGGCAACCCCGGTGGAAAACATCCCTAAAGAAGGGGGAAAAGCCAGCCCCATGTACCAGCTTCCCAAGTGAGTGCGTTCCTGAGTACGGCGCCCATCTCCACTCGACCTCCAGGAGGGATGTTCAGTGGCTTTATGGACACCCAGGGTCCTTGGACGTGCAGCCACATGAACTGAAGGCCCTTTCTGCACTGCACGACCCTCCAGCAACAGTTGTGACCAACCGGGGCAAGCTCAGGGCCAGCCCGTGGGTCGCACTGCCCAATATCTTTAAAACAACGCCAACACATACTGACTCAGAAATAACTGTGCACCCCATTAGCTCTGTTTTGCCATTCAGCATGCAAAACAGCTTTTGTTAATCACATTTGTTCACTAAGATAAACTATAGGATATACCCCCCCTAGCACTGAATAAAACACCGCTCACCCCTGCCCCCCCTTCCCCTTTTAGAGCATCACCCATACGTGCACCACTCTGGATTAATCCCTCATTGTGCAGCTGTATTTCCAGTCCTGCCCAGTTCGTTTGAACTGTGGTTTGCTTCTGGCTTGGCAGGAATACCTGGGAGACCAGGACGCTTCCAAGCATCAACATCATCTCGCTGGCTTACCCCAAAGCTCCCATGAGCTTTCTGGTTGCTATTTTTCTGTAAGAAATGACCCAGACCTAACCAAATCCATATCCCCTGCTTGCTTCTAGGCAGAAATAAATTATTTTCTTCTCCTGCAGTGAATTCCAGGTGGACTTGGGACTTGACTGCGCATGAGTAAATCCCAAGCACCCGGGCTGATGCGAGGGGCACTTCGTGGCTTTTTGGGAGTCATAATCAAAGCTGCCCTTTATGTAAATGAAAACTTGTACATGGAAAGTGGAAATGATAAATAACCTGACACTGCCTGCCAGTATGTCAGAACAAATGCCCCTAATTGCAGCAAAATATTGGTCTTCCTATATTAAAATTAATTATTGCTGTTGATTTAACATTCATATTTCTGCCTTGCAAATTATCGGGGGCATGGTGAGTGAGCAAATGTTTAACAGTCATCTATTTACGTCCTGTGCCTTTGTTTCCTTGGAAACATTGTAAATGGAATATCAAATGTGATGGTTTCAGCTGATACGGTGATTTTAGAGAATCAGCCCTAAGCTCCCCTCATAGCCACCGGCTCAACGTATCTGATTAAATGGAAGGAGAAAGGCAGAGCGTGGGGGGGGGGGTGCAGGGAGGAAGGACCCCGATGTGTGACTCTACTGTGTCAACAAGGGCTGATTCCTGTGAGGACAGATGGCAGGAGGCAGGATTACGCCGTCCGAAAGCTGTACCCATGGCTCTGCGCAAAGCAGATGTGTGGAAGGAGCAGCAGCTCTTCCTCCTGCCCCGTCAATGCCGGGATTATTTCCACACAGCCGCTGTGCATCTGGGCACCCGGGAGCAGCCAGGCCAGGCTGGCACACAAGTCCAGAGCAACGTTAAGCTTCCCAAGAACAAAGCAGCCCAAGGAACAATGAGTATTTAGGCTCTGCTGCCTCCAAGTGTGTCTCTTTGCTTTACACGGAGAGAGGGAGAGGTGTGGAGGGGGGAAGAAGGGAGCCGGGTTGGAAAGCAGTGCAAGGGTGCATCAGGATGATGCTGGGGCCAAACACAGCTCTCTCCTGGGAGGATTGGAGGGCGAGCAAAGCTTCTCTCCAAAGCTTCTCTCGCACGACACGGAAGATGTGCTGGATGGCAGCGGTCCGGGAGTGGGACAGCATTTGGACACGGGGACCCAGAGCTGGGCAGAGCCTCGGACATCACAGCTGCCTCTCCGCAGAGGTGCCAGGGTGGCCGGTAACACTGTCATGCACACTCGAGTCAGAAATGAATAAAATACATTTCTGTAAAGTGGACGTGGCAGGTAGCTGGAAACTTGCTTCAGGCTTTGAAATGTTCATTTTCCCTGAGATTTACCAGGCTGTGTTTGGACGTACCATGCCCTAACTGCCCTGGCCATCCGTGACCTAGGGCCCATGTTACCAGGAGTGATGCGCAGGCAACGGGACCAAGAAAACAACTGGATTTTTGGCCATGCCTGTAAAACTGGGTAAGCAGAAACCAAGTGTGGAGAAGTTGGGGAGCAGAATGCCCAGCATCTAAACACCAGTTTCATGAGAATACGGGTTTTCTCTCTCTGTCAGTCCATCTAAAGGAGGCTGCCTGCAAGCCCTGTCGTGAGCTCTGAAGCTCACACGTGATGAGGAGGGCAAGAACTGGCAGTGAATTACATGAATCCCAGCATCATCCCAGCTGATACTTCTGCTGTGCATCCGCTTTCATCTTAACTACTGGCAAATTTCTTCCAGCCCCTGGAATGTGGCGTGGCAGGGTCGGCATTCGGTCCAGCAGCAGACCCCGCTTTCCCAGGTTTTGCTGCTTTTTGTCTTCTTTTTTAAGGAAGCTTAAACAAAAGGAAAATATGTAGTTGTCGTGCGAGGAGGCGCAGAGCATCTCTGTGCATCAACCATCTGAAATATGCAGTGTCCTTTCATTTCTTCCCATCAACAGGAAAAAAAAAATCATCTGTCACTTCGGGACATCTGCTGTTGGGAAACTTTCCCGCGAGTGCCAGACTGGCAGTGCTGCGAGCACGTCAGAGGAGGTGAGATGCCAGAAGGCTTTCTGCTGGTCACCAAAGCCTCTCGGCGAGCCGAGGGCTCCATCACATCTCCGCACAATGCCCTGACAGGCATTGATGGAAGTGGGGAGAGGAGCTGCTGCAGATTCACACCCGGCTGAGCTGAAATGAGAGGCCTCCGCTGCTCGAAAGCCACAGTATTCCCAAGCTGTCTTCCCAGTTCATAGGCAATCAGGATGACTGATCTGGCTCGGGTCAGGGGTCCGGGCCAGTGACCGGAGATCGGCTTTCCAAAGGCTCCTCTGAAAAAGTCTGAGAACTGAAGGAAGCCTCTTCATCGATTCAGCAGCACAAAGAAGAAGAGGGGCCCATCTGGAAGGATATCAGCATGCGCGCGCACACGGGCACACAAAAGAGGGAGTGTGATGAAATTAATGCGGAGAGCAGGCTGTGGCTAGTGCTGAGAGCATTTTAAGTGCCAGCAGCTCCAGAAAGCCACCAGCGCCGCATCCAGGCGCCCCGATCCCGCTCTGTCTCCAATTGTTACGGGTCGCGTTGCGCTGTGCTGAACGAACCACGCCGGGGCTGCCGGAGGGTGCTGTGCCTGAAAAAAAGCCTTTTCCCTCCCGTGCTGGTTGTTGGCAGCTCTGCAGAAATGCCCTATATTTGAGGGTTGCCTCGTACAGGACGAGAATAAGGTGCAGAGCTGGACAAGTGACCCTCAGCAGCCCAGCAGGACACTGTACATTGCCCCCAGCCTGCTGGAATTTTTCCAGCAGGAAAAATTACTTCACCAAAAGGGCTGTCAAGAGATTGGAATGGGCTGCCCAGGGAGGTGATGGAGTCACCATCCCTGGAGAGAATTAGGAGACATGTGGATGTGGCACTTAGGGACATGGTTTAGTGTCAGGTTAATGGTTGGACTTGCTGACCTCCAAGGTCTTCGACAACCTGAACGATCCTGTGATTCTCTGATTTGGCTGTACGGTGTGTTTTCTACAAATGGGAGTCACAGCAGTGGCACCGGTTCATCCCGACATGCTGACCCTTCTCTGCTGGCTTCACGACACCTGGGTTTTCACTGTCTTTTGACATGACACATCTTTCATTAAATGAGTGGCTCCAATTTCCCACGTATAATTAAAGGACTTTTCAGAGGTCTGTTCCCTCACATCCAAGGCAAGAAGAGAGCTGTGTCCTTCCATCCCTGCAGAGCTGGGAAGTGCACCCTGCCACAGGCAGGAGACAACAGCCAGAGCCAGCCCCTTCATATTACAAGACCTGCTGGTTACTTGGTCAACACACTGGCTGCTACTCAACCTGTGTGCATAGACAGAGAGTGCAATCGCAGATTTAAAGGAATCCTATCCCAGGGAGAGAGCAGGAAAGTCTTTAC